AGGAAGTACAGACAGGTAAACAGGAAGTAGTACTCCACCTGCGCAGACACACAACACACCGCCAGTGAGTCAGACAGACAGGTAGACAGGAAGTAGTACTTCACACACAACACACCACCGGGCAGCTAGAACAACAGCGACACAGACAGGGCAATGAGTACAGACCCTCATGATCCGCATGTTGTACAGGCGTGTTATCTTGTCATCCTGGACATCGCTGTTCAGAATGGTTTCTCTCAGCTTCTCGGCTGCACGGTTATAATCCCCACGCGCTGTGAACACCCAGTGAGGAGAGAGGCCCCGCTCCTACAGAGAAAGACAGGTTTATACATACTGCACCAAGAGAGAGAGACAGGTTTATACATACTGCACCAAGAGAGAGAGACAGGTCTATACACACTGCACAGAGAAAGAGAGACAGGTTAATACACATAGCACTAAGAGAGAGAGACAGGTTAATACACACTGCACTGAAACACAGACAGGGTAATTTACACCACACTGAGAGAGAGAGACAGGTTAATACACACTGCACTGAGGGAGAGAGACAGGGTAATACACACCACACTGAGAGAGTGGGTAACTGACACACAGGACAGGGCACAGTATATATAGAGTACACATGAGTGTTAATGTACACTATGGCACCCACAGGTCAACACAAAGAGTGCTTCTAGCTCCTGCCCAGCCAGCCCAGACCCTCCCAGACAGCGACCAGAGACCCCTGCTCCCCCGTCAGGCCGGCCCGTACCTGCAGCTCGGCCGAGTACTTGCTGAGCTGGGCGCTGAACTGCAGCGTGGTCTCGCTGTAGCAGGGGAAGTCCAGCGGCACGATGTGGTCATGCGCCAGGCGCAGCGCCATCTGGCCCACCAGCTCGGCCACAGCCAGCGCCACCTCGGGCAGCCGGCCCTGCAGGAACTCCTGCAGCCGGTCCGCCGTGTCCAGCGGTGTGTTGGTGAAGGGGTAGGGCCGCGCCTCCTGCGGCGAGGAGAGAGTGTGTCAGGGTGTCACTGTGCAGTGCAGAGGGGTGTCGGGGTGTCACTGTGCAGTGCAGAGGGGTGTC